ATTTTTTTCATAAATATCAGTTCTCCATAGTCCACTAACCGCTGCTGTGGTGTCTTTAAATGCCAAATGACTTTTATTGCTCTTCCAAAATTTTTAAAAAGGATTTTTGTTGGTTTGTTTACATCAAACTCTTACTTCTGTCTTAGAGACAGTTTCTCAATGCCAATCTATCGCATTACCACAATTACCACAATTACCACCACCTCTGCCACCATAATACCATATGCAATCATAATCGACCTGCTGGAAAAAAATGGTAATTAAATCCTGAAATGGATCAAAGGAATATAAATTATATATGCAACAAAATCTATAGCAAGTGTTCACCAAATTGGCTATAATCTCCTTTCCCTTAATATTGTATGTGTGCTGAGAGTCTGTCTACCTTCCCTCCTTCCTTCCTTTTTCCTTCTTTCCCTTCTTTCCTTCCTCCCTCTTTCCTTCCCTTCCTTCCTTCCTCCCTTGTCTTCCCCGCTTTCTTTCTGCTTTCCTTCATTCTTTTCATTTTGGGGGGTTTGTTTCTTTTGTTTCTTCTTTCATTTTATCATTTTCATTTTCTGTCTTCTGTTTGATTTATATTTTGCATCTTGTGCCCTTAGCTTCCTAGTCTGGGCTCCTTCTGATTCTTCAAATGCAGGCTGTGCATATACATAGCACAATACCTGCCTTCTTCCAGCAACGATTTGAGGGAACAGATGACAAACCTAAGAAAAGTCAGTGGAAAAGATGGTTGAGATAGTTCATTTCACCCTTATATTCTCTCCTGCTATTTTGGTGGTATTGTTATTTAGTGTGATGAGAGTTCTGTGCTGTTGCTAAAACTTACAGAGAGGGCCAATAGGCAGAAGTAGCTGCTATGTCTGTTCTTGGAAGTTGTTGGAAATCAAAAGGAAAACATTAACAATTCTTTGGGGATCCATATCTTGTGTTTTACTGAGGTGTCCTAAGGAGTCATCTCTCTGCATATTTTTATAGGAAGCTCTCCAGTGGTGCTTTCTGTCTGTCTCATGTCTGTCTGGTGGAAACCGGTGCCTGAGGCCATGACACAAGTACTGACTTTTCCTTCCTCCACGTCCCGAGTCTCCCTGTCTTTACAAGGGACTAACCTGCTGAACATCAAGCACTCTTGCCATGGGTACAACTGTGAGCCACTCCCTGGCCAAACTCTCCTGGCTCTTGAACTTATGTAGACAAATTCACAATGTTGTTAGGTTATGATTTATGATTTGTTTTTGAAATTGCAAAATCACTTTGATGTGAACTGCTGTTCTCCGAAACCATTCCAGATGTTTTTAAAACTCCAGAATTATCAAACAAAAATAAAACGTAATAATAATAATTGCTAATGTTACGGAAAGAGAGCTCATCAGTAATTTAGGTTTGGCTAAGTATCTTGGCCTGGTTTGTGCATTTTTTTGGTTGGGCAAAATTTGTTTGGCCAAGCGTTTCCCCGTTAATTTTTAAGCCCCTGAGTATTACAGAGGAAACTTAATCCATATGTTTCTGGTTCACTGCCTCTTAAATCGTCAAAATGTTGTTTTCCAAAAGCTTTTTAGTGTTAAAAGAATTTATCGGACACTACACAAGTTCTCGAAAGTGTTTTTTACCTCAACTGGTAGATCCCAGTGGACATGAACTCAAACTCTTAGAGTTTGGTTCTAAATTTAACATCAACAAAGCTTGACTGGGGACCAAAGCAGCCCGACAGCAGTGAGTGCTTTGAAAAGTACTACATTATTGGAAGAACACATGTGTTGAATGGAATGTACTAGTAAAAGCACACCAAAAAGCAGTTTGAGGGATGGATGGCAAGCCTTCCAAGGAATGACTGTTGTGTAAATTTCTATTTGATGAGCTTTCCTTTACATTCTAATTTTCCAGCCACTTCTCCCCAGGCCCTTCAGCTGCATTGTATCCTGGGCAATTCCATTTCCTATACAAAAAAGGGATTTTTGTTTTAAACTAAGTATTCTGATAATCTTGTCAGAGTGAAAAGGATAAGGAAAAAGACATAAGAACTTATTGTCTAGAATGCATCTTGTAATTTCCATAATTCACTAAAAAATTTATTCCCTGCCAGTTTATTTGATTTAACATCACCCAAAGTGTAAGGTTACACGGAATAAATAGCTAATTGGGTTAATTTAATAGCAGGTTAAACCTTTCTTTTATTTTGTCTAAAAGGCACATTAAAATAGTGCAATTTTCAAGTGGTCTTGGAAATCTAAAGTAGAGTTTCTTGATAAAAAAAAATATATATAGCTTTCCCACTGCTGAGTTTATAGTGGGAGTTGCTGGCAAGCTTCCAGTTCACCGCATGAAAATCTAAGCTGCCTGTATAAGTGCAGAATTTAGTGTTGGGTCTTAAGGTTTTGTTTGGCATCTTGCCAAAGATGTTATGCATTTAGCTGGGAAAATTGCCTAGAAGTTAATTGAGAGGAAAACACTAATATACAACCTCCCCCCCTTAAGAAAAAAAAAGCCACAGATATGCATATGGTGCTGTTCATTGATAAGATTTGTATGTATACAATAAAGACTTATAGTAAAGTTGCTTAGAATGGATTTTCACTGATTATCCACCCACCATATATCTGCTCCTTTGAGAATGCTGGTAGTTTCTCCAGGATCCGGATTTCTCCATCACAGTGCCTGCTCAGTAGAGGCACGAGAGCACTGAAGTTCCTTTAAAAATGTTACTGACTCAAGGATAGGTGATGATTCAGGAATTCGGAAGAGGATATATATTAATTTAATTTCATAATCAAATATCTCAAAAGGGACACATTGGTGCAGGATCTCAGTGTCTTCTCTCCAGAGAAGATAGGTGGAATTTGCTCTGTACTCTCCTATAAAAGGACACTTCAGCCTCCACTGAACTTCTCCTTTCCCCCGAGAACCACCGGTGCCTGAGTAAGCTCTCAGGCTTGGTCTCCTCAGGGCTGAAGGAGCACTTCTTGTTCAGGAATTCATGACTTTTTAATTTTATCAATAGTCCTTTTTACCTGAATTTTGCATTTGCTAACCCTGGCAGCTGACTTGTATTTTCTTCTCTCCTGAATTTTCTCTCTAGTGCGTTAACTATACCTCTCCTCTTTAGTCTGTGACCTTTTCGCTTCTGTGGCATGTCCCCCCCCACCCCCCGCCAACTTTTTTTGTTTGTTTGTTTGTTTGTTTCTGATCAATAACCACGACAGAGACACACCAGAATCACCAAAGAATTCACTGCATGTATGTCCCACTTCGAAATGAAAGTAAAGAAAGCTGGTCGTATATTTTTGTTCATTGCATTTAGATTAAAATTTATCTGGGAGAACCCACTCACACAATCATGCCCAGGAGTAATTAAATCACAGTTCCCCATACTTTCCATTCCTCCACAACCCCCTCCTTTCTTAGAGATGCCTTAAGCCTTGGATAGAAAAATAATACTTCCCCAAAATCCATGTCCAGCCTGAAGCTGGAAAGCCTTGCTCTTAAATGACAAAGCTCCCAGTAAGTGGGCTTCTTGGTCACTTTCAGAGCCTTTCTTTATGGTTCTCACTATGGTCTTGCAGAAAGAGCTCGGAGGGGGAGGGCAGTTAAGACAGAAGAACAAAGCTGGGGGGTACGCTTTGGGCCCACTTTCATTAAGACGAGTGTTCTTTTGTACCTGCACTGTATCCTTTTGATGTGTTGAGGTAGAAAGGACATGAGGAAAGAAGAAACAATGAGAGTTGCTACTGTATGAATTCCTTCTCCTTATACTTAATCCTGTCCTTATTGGGGCCTTGGGGGGAAAGCTGATAATTTTGGTGAGCCCTAAAAGGAAGGCAGTGGCTTGAATTCCTGCCACCATCCCCTTGATAATGAACAAGCCTAATGAATGCGGGTAAGTGGTAAGAATCTGTGACCAGCTGCATCGGGGCAGGTAATACAGCTCAGATTTAATTGGGAGCAGGTATTGGAAGGCTGTATTACTTTAATTGGTGAGGGGTTTTCTAAATGGAAAGGACAAAGTATAATGGACAAATTGTGTAGTACAATAGCACTTAAGCTGGGATTGTATGCATTCGTTAATCTGCTGAGGAATGAGGCAATTCTAAACAATTTTCTCAGTGAAACCAACTCCAGAAAGCTTGTCCCTTTTGTTCTCCCTTGGGAAAATGCAAGATTGAAACAGAAAATACCTTTACCGAGGCAATCATTTGCCACGTGTGGAAAGCGGATACAGCTGTAAACTATGAAAAAGGGATCTTTGTAGTACAATAAAGGATGGAAAAAGAGATAAAGCTTGGGATAAGAGTGGGCCTGTCAGTGCATCTGAAGGAGGAATAAAGTGATGGCATTTACAGTGACAGATGAGACTCTAAAGAGAAGGCAGGACAGTTTAGAGAGGGAAATTTGATATTTAAAAGAAAGGGCTGTGATAATTAAAAGTAGCATTACATTAAGCTGTTACGCATATCATTAATGACAGAAGGAAACTGGTGGCTTTTAAAAAGTTAATGATTCCTATAAAACCATTCTGGATACCTTACATTTTTAAAAAGTCTGTATGAACATAAACCTGACCTCTCGGGTTGTATTTCTGATTCCCAAATTTCCTTAAAAATATAAAACGCAATGAAGTTGGAATTAAACTCCAATAATTGTGTGTCACTGTCCATGGAAGAGTGCTCAAGCGCTACTCAGCTAAGAAAATGATGGACTGAGACCAGCCGCGTACACATTGCTGCAAAGGGCTCTCTTATTAAGATGTGGGCATGAAATGAGCCCAAGGGATATTCATTGTCAAACGTGCATTAGTGCCTTGTTTCTTTTGATCATTTATATTTGACAAAATCCAATAGCATATCTATGGAAGGGCATTAAAACTGCTTCCAGATTTGTGATTCAGTGATGGGTGAGCTCTGACGAGGTTGCTGAACAGGATTCTCAACAGGTTGAAACGTAAGAGTGGAAGAGCAACTGTATTGAAATTCTTAATGGGGCTTTTACACTTGTATATTTCATTACAGGTGGGAAAACTGGAAAGATTGAATGTCCTTTGGAGTTCACAGAGGTTTGGCAGTGGGAGGAGAAAAACAAAACGAAGCATAGTGGGAGTGTTGAACCGACTTTCCCAAGATCCCCAGGTGGGTTTCATGTATTGCCTAATGGGAAGAGTGGGACCGATTCAGCTTTTCACACTGGCTGAATTATCTTACCTTGCCTATTGTTCACAGCTAGAACCGAATCTACAAAGCTACAGTTTATCTAAAGAATTCTTTGGAAAGAAAACTATTTTGCTATCCACACATCTAGATCCCACCTATTGGACAGCACAGGCTGTAGCCTCAGTCTCTAAAGTCCAGACTATAAAATTAAAAAAAAAAAAAGTTCTCAGTGTGAAATCGTATTTATTCTAAAAGTAAAGAATACAACTTTTTCTGGCCATTGGCGCATCAGAGCAAAATTCTGCTTGAAACTTAGCCAAAGATGCCATAAACTATAAGTAAAACGAAAGCTTCCTCATGTTCATCAAAGCATGTTCATGACGACAGTCAGGAGACTCACTACCTTCACATTTAAAGAGATGTTTTGAATAATGGCCACCGAAATTCATTACTGGGCTTCCACATTAAAAAATTAAAGCCTGTCAAATTCCTTGGGCCAGATTAGAAGTAAAATAGAAAATAAATAGCTAGAGTTCCAAACCATTATCTATTTTAAAGATTGTGATGTGGAGCATTGAAGTGCTAATCTATATGGCAATGCCATCCAATCTTTTAAATGGAGTGCATGTATGTGTGTGGGTATAGTTTGAATATGATAAAAGTTGTTAATATGTGACTATGCTATGTGCAAGAATGACAAAAACTCAAAATCAGAAAAAAATTAATCAGAACAGATCAAGTTTGTATAAAACTGCTATCTTCCTGGCTGCTAGAGTTAAACTGAAACATTTTCCTGTACTTGCCTTATCTGCACATTCATTTCTCCTTACCAAAAGAAGTAGAGAATGTCTCTCCTGGTAAAAGTTGTATATAAATTTTAGCTAACAGCCATTCAGCGTTGGCAATATCAACTTATAAAAGACTCTATTATCCCAAGAGCCATTTACACTGGGAATGTGAATAAGAAGAATCTTGACACACACACAGGCAGGCGCGTGCATGCACACGCACACACACACACACACACACACACACATTTATTGATTACCTACTATGGGTCATTTAATCCAGCTAGTTGATGTTGTCTGCTTCTTACCAACCACAAACTCAGCAACTGTAGTTATTTTCTACAACATTCAATTAGGGGTTTAGTAATCATAAATATCAAGAAAATAGAGATTTTAATCAAATTTAGTAAGGCAGAAATTATACAGATATAATTATACTCTTTTCTACCACTGAGCTATGCAAAGGTATAATCACTAAGTGGAGAATTAAAGTAGCATTCTAATAGAACTTGAAAGTTCTATGAGACGAATTCCTACATATTTAGATACTATCCCCTGAAACTTCTAGTTCTGTACCTCTCCATCATCCTTTAACCTTATGACAATGATATCGGCTAAAAAGAACACCCAACTCTCCTCATGTAAGGAGAAATTTTTAATGTAGGACATTTAGGTTTCATTTTTATGTTCAATATTTATCATTTATGCTCTGCATCTATAAAGCGAGAGAGACAGATACAGAGAGGGAAAGACAGACATACACACACACATGCACACACATATATACACATCCATGCATGCTTAAAATAAATATTAAATGTTATCACAAGACAATAAGTAAAAAAATATTGTAATGAAATTCACAAATAGTTTCATACATGGAAAAGAGGTTGAAATTTTAGGAGGCACATTGTTACCTCTTTCAATGACAATAATGGATAAATAGGAATCTCAATGAAGAACTATTTTCCTCTTAACCTTTATTAAACATTCCCATGTATATGTATGTATGGCCAGTAAAGGAAATTACAAAGTGACGATATTAAATATTGCCATTCTTTGTGTATTTAGCTAAAATATATCTGTATAGAGGGAAATATATTATTTTAAATAATAAATTTATCAGATGCATCTTTAAAATAAATTATATTTATGTATTGACATTGAATAAAGTCTCTGAAATCTCACAAAGTGAATACTGACGGTTCTATTTTGGGATTATTCAACTATGTCTGGAGCATATATACATTTTGTGCTTTTGTAAAATGTAATTAATTAGTCAATAAAATAAAAAGAACTTCTCAAGAGAAATGCCTTTCTACTGCTCAAAATAGAGATTGAAACCTGAGAAATGAAATGAAAAAAGAAAAGGGAAAAAATGGAAGCTTCTTATAGTTAAAAAAAAAAAAAAAAGTATGGAGTTACAAGTAAGATTATCTGCATAAAAGCAGGTTTCTAAAAGTTATGCCCACTTCATAAAAAGGGCAAATAAAATATCCACTCCTCCAAACCACAGTAGAAGAAAATAAGCTTTCATGTTTTCAAGGCTCTGGTGTAGAAAAGTTTTCTATGAGAAATAGAAACATTAAATCTGTGCCACACTCAGGTGTTGAAGCCAGAATTTATTAAATTTATTTATTTCTCTTATTGTAGACAACACAAATTTGTTATCTTAAAGTCCTGATTTGGAATTTTTAAAATTTGGAAATCTAAAGATACATATGCCAAAAGCTCTAGCAGAAAAAATGGCAAAACCATCTATAGAATAAATCCATAATACAGGGCATCTAGTAAAGCTACAGCAAAAATAATGCTGCTAAAAATGAATTCAATGATTTCAAGGAACCACCGCATAAGGAAATGTGCCAGCATGGAGAGAATCAGCAGATACAACAAATAGGAGAACTGTTATTCTCACATACCCAAATTGATACAATAACCTAAAAATGAATGCAAAATAATTGTGTTTAAAGTAAATTGTGAAAATTTGGAATGAAAATCACATTGACAGAATAGCAAGTTATGGGGAAGAAAGTAGAATTTTGAAAGAACCATGTCTTAGTCAATTTTCTGCTGCTAGAATAGAATACCAGAGGCTAGCTAATTTCTAAAGAAAGCAGAGATTTATTTCTTACAGTTCTGGAGGTGGAGAAGTCCAAGATCAAGTGGATTCGTGAGGGACTTCCTGCTACATGATCTCATGGCAGAAGGGGGAGGGGCAAGAGAGCACATGTGAGAAAGAGGGGAAGAGCTGAACTCAAGAACCCACTCCTGCAATAACTAACCTAACCTGTGATAATAGCATTAATCCATTCATGAGGGCTCTGGCCTCATGAAATCACCTCTCAAAAGGCCTACCTCTCAATGCTATTGCATTGCAAATTAAGTTTCCAACATATGAAATATGGGGGACATATTCAAACCATAGCAAAACCACAAATAATTTCAATTTTATAATACCTGAACTCAAATAATAAACAAAAACAATACATCTTTATTTTTATGAAATGCCCCATTATATTTGTGTTTGTTGAAAGACAACCTAATTAATTCATTATTTGTATATAATTGTTGAAATTTAGTAAATGACAATGTATAAATAGCATTAGGTAATAACTGATAACAACCAGTAACGACAAAAAGTGAAAAGAAATGATCATGAAATGTTAAACTTGACTATGGAGACACTGACACTTTCCTAGAGGTCTTTGAAAATAAAAAGGGAGTAAGGAAAGTGTTTCTAGACTTGTCAAAAATAGGAACCCTTGGGGTGTGGTGTCAGCAAAATGGCAGACTAAGAAGTGCCAAGCTCTTATTCCTCAAACATAAACACAAAAAATAAAGTAAAATAAAACATAAAACAGTGTGAACCAACTTTGCAGAAGCTCTGGAAAACAGTTTTACAGCAACTAAGCACATGCTCAGTCAAGAAAAAGCATCTTCAAAATGGTAAAAATGTTTAGTGGTGGTTTTATTCTCCATCCCCCAGACCCTTCACAGTAGATGATGGTGTGCTTTTCAGCAGTGACAGATTAGTTACCAATTCCCCACTTCAAAGTGAAGGAAGAAGAGCAGACTTTACTCGAAAATCATTGTGTATGTTCATCCTAACCTGACTAGAGAAGCACTTGAAGAACTGACTTGCTCATCTCTGTCTCGTATAGTTCAGAGTACAGGCAGGAAAAGCAACAGGAACGTCTCATAAAAACCACAAGAGGACAAAAATCCCACAGACATCTGCAACTAGAGACTCTAGGTGGAGATACACAATACACCAGCTAAGGCCCAGAGGAGAAACACCTTAAGACTCTTTGGGGAATTAAGGTATTCAAAAAGAATTGTTTATACAAGGGGATTTAGAAAGTTATTAGCATGCCCCAGAAGGACACATGCTCAAAATTCCTTAAAAGCCCTTAATCTTTCACCGTGGTTGAATCCTAGACTCCTGGAACACCTAGAAAATTCATGAAGAAGTACATCAGCACAGAGGCAGTCTATAAAATCTGAGAAAGGTGACTGTCCATTTGTTTGTTCGTTTGGGGAGTTGTTTGTTTTTGTCTGTTTCAGATCCTGAAATTCAAGAAAATCTTTGTCAAAGTATTAGCTGAGTGCAAGCGAAAGGTATCAAAATAGTGAGTACACACACCAAAGAATAGTCTTTGCAAAAATAGTTTGTCTCAAGACAAATAGACTACAACAGACTTTAATAATCAAAACAGAAACACCAACATAGAGAACCTAAAGAATGAAAAGAATCTGATTTTCAAAGTCATCACATTATAAAAATCAAATGTCAATCTTCAACAACAACAACAACAAAATTCACAGGGCACACAAAGAAACAGGAAAATGGCTCATTCAAAGGAATAAAATGATTAATTGGCATAAACTGTTCCTGAGAAAGCCCAGATGCTGAAGTGACTTGACATTTGCTCAACTAGATAAGAGTGAATTTTGACAAAGAAGTAAAGGAAATTTGGAACATGATATTTTATCTGAAGGAGAGTATCATCAAACAGAGAAATTATAAACAAGAACCACACAGAAATTCTGGAGCTGAAAAGTACTACAACTGAAGTTTTTTAAATTACTTGCAGAGATCAACAACAGATTTGCAGAAGATGAGTGAACATGAAGATAGGAAAATTGAAATCATTGAGTCCGAGGAGCAGAAGAGATAAAGGAGTGAAC